ATACATAAATAAACTACTACTACTAATAATAATAGTAGATAATAAAATAATAATAGGATAGTGGGGACTATTGACATGAATGTGTGAATTCTGAAATAATAACACTCACCATATGACCTACCTATAAAATTCAAAGCAACAAATAACAACGCCTATAACATTATTAATAATATTTTGTATTATATGTCCTTGTTACTTCAAATGAAATGTCGTTGTGGACGGGGATGTTGTTAGGTCCACGCTAATAGAGCTTGCTTGTGAAATCGATCAGGAATTCTTCAACAAAAAAATCTACAATTAAAGAATAAAAACAATGTAAAATTAAATTAACAAAGTTTATGGAAGAAACATAAATATTCCAAATACTTATGGTATTTTATACATCACACACTTTGATTAAAAAAAAGTTAATTTCCTTATATTTTGACAGTGATAGTAACGTCACCAAACCGTCCAGCGCGCGAGGCTGACTGCAGCACTTCCTCGAGGCGGGTTGACTAGAGCGCGCTCTGCGGTGACGCGCACGGAGGGGAAGTGGAAAGGCGGAAGAGAAGACGTTGAATAAACTTGCCAACTTCTAGCTGACTGGCTAGAAATACAGTTAGATACGATGTTACAGACGAATTGGTTACTTATTTCCATACAGACTTAGATAGCTAACCCACCGCCCTGTCTACATTCAGTCACCGCTCTCTCTACTCGCCACACGACACGACCACGGGACTCCAGCAGTTTTCAAACAGACGTTGCACTTGCTGAGCCGACCCGAAGCCAACCAGCGTCACAAAGTTACATTTAGCTGTTGTTAAAGTGTTGGGATAACCACTCAATTGTCCCAACGTGACACAAAACCAACTCGCTTGCTTTTTCTCCTTGTGGGAAAAGTTGTCCGTGGTTGTTGGTGGTGGAGGAGCCGACGAGGCCTGCAGTCGAGGTGGCTGCATGTGTGAAGACTGTTGCTGGCGAGGAGTGACTCACACAGCGCTAGCTAAACACTCAGAAACATGTCGGCCCAGGCACAGATGCGAGCGATGCTGGACCAGCTCATGGGGACGGGGAGAGACGGTGAGAGGACCGCTGGCTGTGTTGAGATCGGTGTCTCGTCGGATAAGGAAAGGAGTTTGTGTTGTTGCTAGCATTAGCCGGAATGCTAACCGAAATGCTAGACAGTGACTGTGAGGCATGCTTTGCAAACCAAGCTAGCTAACATGAGGATAGCCAGCCGGCTAGCTACCTGTTGTGTTTGAGTGTACATGGCAAGTTAAGTTGCTGCTAACATCTGCCACAAAAAAGAATAACATTTTAGCGCTGTACTAGGTCATGATCAGTGTGCTCTTGTGTTCGTGGCTCCATTTATTGCCACCATAATTTGTCGTTGTGTCAGACTCTCCGAGCAGCTAACTTTTTGGATTTACTGGTAAGGTAACAGATGTGTGACTCATTGGTTACAAGTTTGCACCTCAGTGACTTTGTAGGTATCGTGTTATGTGTTAGTCGGTGGGACTGCCTGACAAGTCATCATGTCTTTATGCTCTTGTGTTTTTCTTTTTTAAGGAGATACCATGCGGCAGAGAATCAAATTCACAGATGAACGAGTCTGCAAAAGTCACCTCCTAGATTCATGTCCTCATGATATTTTGTCTGGCACCGTGAGTATTATGTTTATGCACACTGTGAAACACACACAGAGTATTGCTATGTCATGCCAGAAAGTATTAGGACAGCTGTTGTCATTGGTATTGGGTCTACTCCAGCACACTGAACTAAAACTGACACAATGCCTTTATTTTTTTGGTGAGCATATATTGTGTGAGCAGTGTAGAACACATCTGACCCCCATTGTTTGTATGCCCCCATAACTGAAAAGGGAAGATAACTGCAGTCCAGGACTGACAATAAGAATAGTGTCAGCTATGGTTTAGGTCACAAGCAACAGTCAGAATTTGCCAGTAACCTTTAACTTTTCCAATTACTTACTGCCCCCTAAAACTGGGAGGCTGTATACATAAAAAGGGCCATCGTTACAACACTTTATTAAAGCAGTCAGCACTTAAACCACAAAATCACTGTTCAGTTTACATTATGCTGGAGTACAACTGAACACAAAAAGGTGCTTCTGTCTCAGTGTGTCATGACTGCAATGTGTGTGTGTGTGTGTGTGTGTGT